AAAAAAAAAAAAAAAAAACCAAAAAAAGTATTTTTTTCTTGAGCTAAGTCTGCGCGTTGGAAGTGGGTCATGTCACCTGTGAAGACAGGGAGTCTTATTTTCTCCTACATCCATATTCACTGGACTTCATGATAGTCACTCTCAATCTTTTGAGGGAAGTAGCAGACTTGGGCTGGGCAAGACACCACCCTAAGGGATAGTCATGAGCTTCTAATCACTGTGGACACCTATTAGTGATGTGGGTTGATGAGCATCTTGTCCCAGACTGCATTACCACTAGCTCCAGATATCTCAGAGGTCAGGTGCTTCAGCACTGCTGCCAACTATACTGGTATGCTGGCCCCAGTGTGCTAACCATAGTTGTCTTTGAGGAGCAGACAGTGTACACAGCCCATGGGGAACTTCAGACCACTCCGGATGAACAACACTCCTGCCTCAGCTCCAGATGAACAGAACTCCTTCTTAGCTCGCGCTTGCCGCCCCACTTCCAACGCTCAGACTTAGCTCAAGAAAAAAATACGTTAAAACAGAAAAAGTAGCCGTTAAGGCAGGTGCCCAGGTTAAGCATAGACAAATGGCAGATTGTGGTTTATTCTGATTGGCTGGTAGCTGTCTATTCATTATCCAATCAGATACTGGATACCAAAGACAACTTTTGAAAGCCTTGCACACTATATACCACAGTTGTCTCTTCACCAAATGCCACTTGCTTGTTGACTTCACATTGGAACTGTAAGCCAAGTAAGAACTTACCTTAAAGTGTACTACCATTTTTTTAAAGGGCTTCAAGAAAGCTATGGCTAAAACTCAGAAGATGGGAAAAGCACAAGAGATGCCACGAAGAGAGCTATTCTATTTTTATCGGTAAGGCGCTGAAGCGGGTCCATCTGACACTAGTATCTCTTCCAAGGCCATGAACATCACCAATTCTTTTGCCAGTGACATTTTTGGGCAAAGTGCTTGTGAGGCGTCTAAGCTGGCAAACTATAAGGAACAGGCAACAATCACCTCCATGGAGATCCAGAAGGCCATGCCGCTGCTGCTTCCAGAGGAACTAGCCAAGCATGCCTTGTCTGAGGGCACCAATGCTGTCACCAAGTACACCAGCTCTAAGTAAAATGATCCAACCACTAGAGCTTAATAAATCAAAGGCTCTTTTAAGAGCCATCTATACTTACTAGAGATCTGTGGGCTGCTTATGTGGGTGCTTATTTTATGTGAGTAGCCTTCATTGCTAAGTTAGTGATTTAGCTAGCCTGTATGTTTGCTTTTTTTTTTTTTTTTTTTAACAATTTCCGTTTCTTTTACACACTATGATGGGAAAACAAGGAGAATAGATAACTTCTTGACTATCTTAGTTATAAATTTCACACTAACTCTGAACTTAGATGTAACTAAAGCAAACTCTGAACTTAGATGTAACTAAAGCAATTCAGAGAAGAGAGCCCTCTGGAAGAAGTGCAAATAACTCCAGGTCCATATGGATGTTCTTTCTGTGAACAAATGTTATTAAGAAACAAGACTTACCTTATTCTAGAACACTTCTTACTACCTCAAGCTTTACAACAGCATAAAGGACCTGGATCTGTGTGAACTCTAGGAAGACCTTAGGGAAGTCCAACACTGAACATAAAGGCTATTTTGTTTCTTTTTTTCTCTGGCCATAGTGTGTGAAAAAATGTTTCCTACTGACCACGCTAGCTGTCTTGGAGGCGCTGGTGGTTAAGGCCCCCAGAATTTGCAATTCACTGGGGTCTCTACTGCTCAGAACAGATTGCTAGTGGAGTGTAGAGATCTTGCCATATCAAGTAATTCATATGGGAACCCAAATGGCTAACCACAACTAACTGACAAACAGAAGTAATTTTAACTGAATTTCCTCTATTTTTGCATTACTTCTAAGTCATAGTAAGATCATTTTATTGTTTTTTTTTTTTTGTGGTTCTATGATAGGATATTAAAAATTGTATTTGTGTCCTGTCATTATTGGACTTGAATACTCAAATGTTTCAAACGTGCTCTCTCTGTGTCACGGCCATCTGCACGCTTCTCTAAGAGCAGATAAGCATTAAGAAATCAGTGATAACAAGCATTGAAATAGATGACTGGTTTTATCCAAGTACTTATCACCTCTGACTTGGATTGCAGTCCCTAATTAGTCTCCCTGCTCCTACTCTTACCTCCCTCTCTTCACCCAACTGATAAATTTTGTGTATTTGTTCATTCACTCACTCATTCATTTATTTATTTTTTTTTTTTGTGAGAGAGGCTCACTCTGTTGCCCCAGTCTAGAGTACCATGGCATCAGCCTAAGCTCACAGCAACCTCAAACTTTTGGGTTCAAGCAATCCTCCTGCCTCAGTTCCCCCAGAATGCTAGCATTATGGACACAAGCCACCATGCCCCACCAAGAAAGTAATTTTACATGATAAAAAATATTTTTATATTAATGTGATCTGAAAAACCAAAATACATGTAGGTTCCCCTTATCAACTAAGATGAAATATAAGGTTAAGGAAACAAAAGTTCCCTACCAGCCAAGGGGTCAGGGCTTAGCTGGCATGAGAACTTTGTATTTTCTGTGGGTACAAGAAGACTACACCCTTACTATATTTCCTAACAATAGGAGCTATCAGGAAAATTATCAGACCCTTAACTTTGAATTACAACCCAGACCACTACAAATGTGGTTGGACAGAAGATTGACCTTACTAATACTATTTTTATGGTAAGCAACTATCCACCTTAAGCCAGTTTCAGCCAGTCTATTGAGACTGTGTACAAATTGTCTTTGCATCCTATAGGTTATCTTTTGACACAAAGAGCCAAATTCCACCTCATTTTAATGCTAAATCCTTGCCCCAAAGTGAACACAGAATGTATATTATTTATATGTGTTTACCCATGGCAGATGTGCTTAACCCCCTTCATAAATATGTATAGCTGTCCACCAAAGCCTACTGAATATGAATGACTCTATTTTGTAATAGAGACCCTATTAAGCATAAAACTCACTTGTTTTTTCACTTGTACCTGGCTTATTTCATTTAACATAGTATCTTCCAGGTTCATCTGTGCTGTTGCAAATGAGAAGATTTCCTTTTTTGAGACTGAATAGTATTCTATTATGTAGACACATGGTATATAGCACATTTTCTTTACCCATTCATCTGTTGATGGACACTTAAAATTGTGAATAACGCTGCAATGAATATGAGAACACATATATGTCTTTGACATACTGACTTAATTTCCTTTTGGATAGGATTCCCAGTAATAGTATTGCTGGATCATTTGATAGTTCTAGTTTCAACTTTTTAAGGAACTTTTATATATTTTTTCATGTTATGTACTAAAATGTCAGGCCTTATTAAAAGCACCAATTAAGGATAAATACTCCTATAATCAACATGTTAAAAAATCTTAAAAACTATTTCAGTCTGGTATGTTTCATTACTAAAATTCCTATCTTATTGTATGCCTTTATATTAAGATGATGTATATAGGCTCAACTAGACTTCCAAAGAAATCCATAGTACAATAAAGCTTCAGATTTATGAGCATTCTAGATTAGGGATGCTTAACCTCTATTGCAAATATGGAAAGCTCAACAGAATCTACCAGAAAACTACTATGAAAATAAGTCAGTTTAATGAGGTAATAGGAAAATATAAAAATGACACACAGAAAACAATCTTTCATACAAAACATTAGAACGTATGAATAGAGAACACCTCATTTATAAAAACAAAATGCCTAAAATGACATTCAATTTTTTTAAATGCCAAATATATATAAAGGTAGTTGATTAGTCCACATCCATCACGTGGTCTCAATTCTAGAAAACGGACCTGAGAAGTAGGGGAATACTCATGAAAGTCTCTTCTTATTCTCAAGACCCAGTGACACAGATTGCCTCTTTCTCCTCTCACTTTGTCCTAGCTGTATAAATACTTGGAATTGTAAGTACGATGTAAATCGGTGAGGAAATAGCGGTTGCCTTTTGTCCAAATAATCCCAAGAGTCTGGGGGTAATCACAATAGCCTAATGAGTGGCCCCAAAACATAACGGGTTGACTGAGAACTTTGCAATATCTGGTTTCAGGTGGTCTTAGGGCAGTTGAGCCCCATTTAGAAATGACACCCACTATACAACGTAGGCATGAGATGTTCAGTAATCTCGTTTAGAGGACTGCCAGCTAAGAGCATGGCTCTGCAAGGGGGTTCTAGGAACGAGGTTTATGGATTTTAGCTATTCTCATGTCTTAAATGTCTTAACAAATGGTACATGCCAAGTCAATTATCTTCAATTGCACACTAACGTCCACCGAGTATAAATTTAAAGTCTCCCTCAGGACAGCTTAATTCAAGGGGCTGTCATTGGATTATTCTTTGCTCAGGAAACCCAAATAACCCAATGAAGCACACTACAACCACCTTCAATATAATACTGCCGAAAATAGTCCTGAAAATTATCCGTTGACTACACTTGGTCAATGAACCTCAGAAGCAGCATGATTTCCACATCCCAACATCTAGGCTTCTAATTCAAACCTAGAAACCTACACTAACAGTGTATCAGCCTGTTAATGTTAAGGAACATTTCTGGTATGCCCCAGCTCTCTTAAGCTTCTTTAAGTGGCTCTGAAAAGAGCCTTTGGGTTAAAGACGCTTACTTGGTTAAGTTTACTTGGTACATGTACTTTACTTGGAACTTGTATATTTCGTAACAGCCTTGGTGCCCTCAGACACTGCGTGCTTAGCCAGCTCACCAGGTAACAACAACCGCACAGCCGTTTGGATCTCCCTGGACGTGATAGTTGATCTTTTGTTGTAGTGGGCCAAGCGGGATGCCTCCCCAGCAATACGCTCGAAGATGTCAGTAACAAAAGAATTCATGATGCTCATGGCCTTCGAGGAAATGCCAGTATCTGGATGGACCTGCTTCAGCACCTTGTAAATATAAATGGAATAGCTCTCTTTGCGGCATCGTTTGCGCTTTTTTCCTTCTTTCTTCTGGGTTTTCGTCACAGCTTTCTTAAAGCCTTTCTTGGAAATAGTAGTGCCTTTTGAAGATAACTCCGGCATGGCTGGCAAGAGGTTCCGCAGCGTTAACAGCTCTACAGTGCTAACAGCTCTACAGTGCTAACAGCTCTATAGAGTTACAGCCTGGAAACTACAATCTGTGCCAAGCAAGCACAGAGCAACTGGGGTTGGGAACCCTGGTATTTATAGGCATGGCCTCATATGACGTATTGAAAACCCAGCACCTGATTGGATAATGGGCAGTGGAGTGTATGCAAATGAGGTGATTCTGGTAAGGCTTTCTGATTGGATAGATAGCCATCAGCCAATCAGATTACAAAGCACAACGGCTGTCAGACTATAAATAGACCCAGTCGCTATCTCTACCGTTGCATTTTCTCTTATAACACGCTTTTACTTCGAGCATGTCTGGGCGCGGGAAGCAGGGGGGAAAGGCACGTGCGAAAGCCAAGTCTCGGTCATCTAGAGCAGGCCTACAATTTCCTGTAGGTCGGATCCACCGTTTACTTCGGAAAGGCAATTATGCTGAACGGATCGGGGCTGGCGCACCCGTGTACTTAGCAGCGGTGCTGGAGTACCTGACCGCTGAGATTTTGGAGCTAGCGGGTAATGCATCACGTGACAACAAGAAAACCCGCATTATCCCACGACATTTGCAGTTAGCTATCCGCAACGATGAGGAACTCAACAAGTTGCTGGGTGGTGTGACCATTGCACAGGGTGGCGTCCTGCCCAACATCCAGGCGGTGTTGTTGCCCAAGAAGACTGAGAGTCATCACCACAAAGTCCAGGCTAAGTAACTTTTCTAGGTAATTTATTTCAACGACCTAAGTACCTGGAGGGGAAACCCAACAAAAGGCTCTTTTCAGAGCCACTCACCACCTCAAAAGAAGAGCTACAATAGTTACCCAAACTGAAATTGCCCCAAAATTCAAAGATCTTTGGTTTTAATAAATCATTTAAGCTGTTTGAGAATTTTTGAGCAATTAAGAAAAGGCCAAAAGCCCATGATTCAGAAACGCCTGCCAGGAGGGACCTGTTGTCATAACTAATTTCTGTAGGAAACCAGCCTTAACTTCTGACAGCAGCAATGCTATTTTTAGCCAATACATTTGCAGAGAAATTGAGGGCTGTGTTTCCGTTACTTATAGCAGTATGATAACTTATAGTTGCTGAGATAGTGTGATGAAGGTTTTGAGGGTTTGTTTAGGTGGGTTAAGAATTGTGTACGTTGAGAGATTAGATTATAAGCAGGAAGTAGTGTAATTAGTAGGTTCCAGTTTAATTTGGGGCAGTCCTAGAGTATATCAGCCAGTCTAACAAGGTGGTGTAAAGTACCTTCTAGAAGATAATTTCCTTCCAAATACAGTATCATTAAATCTTTATATATGTCATATAAGTAAAATGTTAGCAAGTTTTACCTTAAAAGTTCCATAAAAGATGGTATATAGGGGGCGGCACCTGTGGCTCAAAGGAGTAGGGTGCCGACCCCATATGCCGGAAGTGGTGGGTTCAAACCCAGCCCGGCCAAAAAAAAAAAAATTATATATAATATCTATGGTTTCACACTTTGTGTAGGATAATAGAACTATTAATTTAAAATACTATTAACAATTACACTAAAGCACCTATTATGATAAATAACATTGAAGGAGTTCAGGACGCAGCACTATACAATATGCCACTCTGGCATGTTGACTATTTTGAGTTAAATGCACTTGAAAACAGCAGGTACAAGAACACTCAGACTTTCCTTCTATTTCTTTAAAGCTGGAGATAAAAGATGCCCTCCCTATACCAATAGGAAAGTATCATTCTTGTTAAGGACGGAAGTATTGAGTCCTGGAGAAATTTGTACAAACAAACCTTGTTAAACTAAACCCAAGTCTCTTTGCATTATCACATTTTCACAATTTACTGCTCTTTGTCCAGTTAGTTTATCAGTATTTCATGCTGTATCTTTGATTCATTTCTCTGTTAAAGTTCTGTACCATATAACATTTGTATTCAATAAATGCATATGCTTTTCTCTTGTTGATCTGTCTTATGTCAATTTAATTTTTAGGCCTTATAAGAAAATCCAAAGGGAGAAAATGTACAGTTTTGCCTCCCCTGCAACATTATAGATAAGGCAAAAATAACTCAAAATTTAAAATCCTGCATTTAGATAAGCTATTTTTTGCGTGTAAGAGTGAATTAAATAATTTAATGGCCAAAAATTGGGAAGTTTTACCACTCACAAATGTATACGAAAGAATTGCTATTGAAGTATGTATTGGCTCAGCACCTGTGGCTCAAGTGGCTAAGGCACCAGCCACATATACCTAAGGTGGCAGGTTCAAATTCAGCCCAGACCCACCCAACAACAGTGATGGCTGCAACCAAAAAATAGCCTGGCATTGTGGCAGGCAACTGTGGTCCCAGCTACTTGGGAGGCTGAGGCAGGAGACTCACTTGAGCCCAGGAGTTGGAGGTTGCTGTGAGCTGTGATGCCACAGCACTCTACCCAGGGGGAAAGCTTGAGGCTTTGTCTCAAAAAAAAAAAAAAGAATATGTACTGAGGCTCAGCACCAGTAGCTCAGTGGGTAGGGCACTGGCCACATACACTGGTGCTGGCAGGTTCAAATCTGGCCTGTACCTGCCAAACGACATTGACAACTATAACAACAAAAAATAGCCAGGTGTTGTGGTGGACGCCTGTAGTCCCAGCTACTTGGGAGGCTGAGGCAAGAGAAGCTCTTGAGTCCAAGAGTTTGAGGTTGCTCTCAGTTGTGACACCACAGTACTCTACCAAGGGCAACATAGTGAGATTCTGTCTCAAAAAAAAAGACAAGTATGTATTGAAATAAGAAGATTGAACTCGGAAGAAAAGGTAGGAATTCAAGAAGCATTAAAATTGCAAAATAAAAAAGTAAAAATATAACTATAAATCGATTTAAATATATGAATTAGTTGTAGAAGAAATAGTAATACAATACTTTATATTAAGGTATTTTTAAAAAGTAAACCAAAAATACTGGATGATAGTTATAGAAGATGAAAGGGGCTGATCCAGAATGAAGCATTTTGATGTTCTTATCTTGTTGAGAAGGAGGACAGGGATAGTGATTAAGTTATATTTTCTTACTTAGGGCATATATTTTGATATTAAAAGAAACCACTAAAATGATAAAATGAATGTAGAGAAATAACAGTGAAAAAAGCAGTGAGCCCAATGGAAAGCAAAAAGAACATGAAAGAAAGGAAAGACAGGCATAACAAATTACAATGCAAAATAAGATATTAGAAATGAGTCCAAATACTGATAACCAAGATATGTGTATAAAATTTGCCACTTAAAAGAAGTATTGGACTAGAAATGAAATATGGCTATATCTTGTTTAAAAATGCACACTAAAACTTCTTGTCATAAAACATCTAGAAGAAAAGGAATGGAGAAATACAAACAAAACTACCTCCCCATACCTTTTTCTTGCAATATTAATAGCAGAGTGATATTATTTAATAAAAAATAATTTAATGAAGTTGTTTGAAAAACTAAAAAAAAATTATCCAGGAAGATGTACTATTCTTTGTTACATTAATACCTCAAAATATAGCTTTGTTGGCTCCGTACTTGTGGCTCAATTGACTAAGACGCCAGCCACATACACCTAAGGTGGTGGGTTCGAATCCAGCCTGGGCCTGCCAAACAACAATGACGGCTGCAACCAAAAAAATAGCTGGGCATTGTGGTGGGTGCCTGTGGTCCCAGCTACTTGGGAGGCTGAGGCAGGAGACTCGCTTGAGCTCAGGAGTTGGAGGTTGCTGTGAGCTGTGATGCCATGGCACTCTACCCAGGGGGATAGCTTGAGGCTCTGTCAATATATATATATATATATATAGAGAGAGAGAGAGAGAGAGAGAGAGAAGAGAGCTTTGTCTATAAAAAGCATACATTAGCCGAAATATATGAGAAACAGATCGAAACTAAAGCAACTCCAGATGGTAAGCCACCATATTAATTTCTGAGTAACCCTAGTTCTAGGAATTCCACTAAGATTTCTAGTTTATCTACTATTAAGTACTTAATGGTAAATTTTGCCCTAGGTAGAAACAACCTGGATGTTCTCCTAAACCATACTAGTCATATATTCTATCCTTAAGAAAATTTTTGCCTTTCCCTGAGAGGCTGACTTTAATTGTCCTACACATAAGCCCTGAAGGAGAGTATAACAATGCTCAAGTCCACCATCTCTTCTGGGGGCTGCTGGGACATAGCTTCTAAAGTCTCCATTAAATGTTTCTTTTGGAGAAACTGGATTTGTCAGCCTCTTTCTTCTGTCTCTCAGATCCCACTACTTGCCAGTTTTCCACAGCTTCCCTCCCTGTGGGGTTGAGAAGTCTCTGGCTAACTTCCTGGGTCACCAGAGGACAGCCTCTGGGCAAAACCCACTGGCCAGAGATGCCTGGAGTCTTCTCTCCCCACTCTCACTGCACCCGGTTACACAGAAGCTGCTACTCGGCCACCACCTTCGATCCCTCTGGCTTTAAACGTAGGTTTGCATAGACCCACTCACAGGTATCATTTCAGAAAAACATTACAAACATGATATCTTTTCACATGGCATGACAGGATACGTTCACATTTATAGCAAATTGAAGATTTACCTAGTTGGTAGAGTAAAGCTCTAGTCTGCCACATTATTATTTTAATTTGTATTTATTTTCATCAGAGTGACACTGAACCTATCTATATAACTACAGGGATACATTCTAAGAAATGCGTTATTAGGCTCTCTCATCATTCAAATATCATACAATGTACTTATACAAACCTAGATGGTATAGCCTACTATACACCTAAGCTATATAATACAGCTTAATTGCTCCTAGGCTCTAAAACTGTACAGGTGTTAATATACCGAATACTGGATAACTGTAATACAGTGGTAAGTATTCAAGTATCTAAATATATTTAAAGAAAAGATATAGTAAAAAACAGGGCATTATAATCTTATGGGATCACTACTGTATATGCAATCCAGCCATGACTGAAATATATATGTGCATCACATGACCGTATATATTTGTTTTAACCAACTAGTCCTATCATGAAATCTCTTTTGGTCCATTAAAAATAATTTAACAATAAACTCATATTAATTGCTTTCTAACATTATAAAACTTAAATTATGCTAGGCTCTTTGTAAAATCTGAACAAGACAATTTTATAAAGAGCCAGTTGAATTTTTAAGCTATCTCTTAACAAAGAACACATTTCTCATTAACATGAAATATGGTGGTCACACATAAGGTCTTTTAAAATCAAATATAATCATAGCCAACACTAGAGGGAGCCCAGTAGTCACACCATGTGAAAAGATAACACGTTTTTAATGCTTTTCTGAAATGATACCAGATAAAATGTACAGTAAAACTATGAATACTGAATATAATAGTTCTAGGGAAAAAAGAATAGAAATAAGTGCTTAAAATATATATTCAGACTTCAATCTTTTGGTGAACTGGGAAAGACATACCAAAAAAGGATTAAATGAACAACTGTAGAATACCCACAAATGCCTGTACAGATCTTGTTTCAGTTATTATTTCTGGCTCCTGTCAGCATGAGAATCAGAAAGGTCTGCTTCAATACCTAGCTTTACTACTTCTAAGCTGAGTGTTCTTGAGTTACTTAACCTCTCTATGCCTCAGTTTTTCTACCTGTATATAGTATACCTATCTCACAGGGTTATTGTGAAGATCAAATTGAGATCACATCAATAAAGTATTTGGCACACAGCACAAAAGACAAATA